GGCTGTCTGCGATTGGTCGAAGCGTGTCATTGACCGTCTGCAATTGGTCGAAGCAATTGCAGACGGCTATTGGTGGCGAAAAAGCACACAACAAACAATTAGAATCATTCCGCAATTGCACCGGTTTAAAATGAATATCAAGGTGCTCGAAAAACACAAGGAAGAACAACTGTATAACGCGAAAGCACATTCACATGAATGTGCTAGATGTGGTTTCGCCTTAGTAGCTTGAAACGCAAAAAGAATACCGCCCGCTCCAAAGTTGCCGAAGTAACTACTTCTTTTCGATGTAATCGCGCAATGGGAGTTACATTTCGGCATTTCTGCGAAATTCGCAAATTTCGCTTCGATATTTTGCTTCATTGGGTGTTACCTTTATGGTACACATGATTGATTGATATGTGGGGTTTAACGTCCCAAAACCACATTATGATTATGAGAGACGCCGTAGTGGAGGGCTCCGGAAATTTAGACCACCTGGGGTTCTTTAACGTGCACCCAAATCTGAGCACACGGGCCTACAACATTTCCGCCTCCATCGGAAATGCAGCCACCACAGCCGGGATTCGAACCCGCGCCCTGCGGGTCAGCAGCCGAGTACCTTAGCCACTAGACCACCGTGGCGGGGCAATTTTATGGTACACATATTACGTTTGAGCAAGCATTCGTTCGATGTACAGTTTAGCTTAAAAGGTACAAGCCATTCGCTGCTTCAGCATTCGGCTTGAGACTTGTTGCAGAATTTGCTGAACTTACCTTTGCTGATGTAGTGCGAAAGTTGCGGGACCGAATCGTGGCTAGAACTTCTTGGAGTCAGAATCTTAGTGGCCCGTGTACGTGGATTTAGGTACACGCATAAAGGACCCCAAGTGGTCGGGGTGCCCGGGACATTATACCACGGCGTTTCTCATATACACATCATGGTTTTAGAACCTAACCCCAGCAGTTGATTATATAATTTTAGACGGTGACGCGAGGGTCATCTAGCAAATATAATGCACAGTTGACATCACCACTTCTTTTCTGCTCGCATTCAGCATTCTTGTTGAAGTGTTACCTCTATTTTAATGCACTGATTCACGCCAGGGACGCAGGCAGAAACTTTGGGGGGGGGGGGGGGGCACTTTTTTTAAATACATTAAAATGGTCATTTTTCTCTCTGTGTGGTATGGCCGAACGAAATGTCGAAGTGGAGGTGGAGGGGGCGCTAGAGTCTAGTGCGCCACGCCCTGGTTACGCCACTGTATTCGCGCCAAAGTTGTGACAACAAGGTAGCACTTTTTACGCTTAAATGCTTTGTCTATATACGTTGGTCCTAGGAGCAGTGCCGGTTTCGCCAATTTAAACCTTTATTGTTGTGTGTTCAGCATTTAAAAAATTTGGCCACTGCTTCACTCACGGTTACGCGTAGATGTGCGAGCCAAACGCTGGAATTGGCTGTTCCCATCAAGATGCTTCCGAATGTCACGGGTTCGCATTCTGGCCACGGTGGCCGAAATTTGATGACGGTGAAACGCTAGAGGCCTGTGTGCTTAGATCAGGGCACGCGTTTATCAAGCTCGGTATTAAATTACTGCTCCCACCACTAGGTCAAGTACATAATCGAGATTTCGGGACTTAATGCCCCCAAAATGATATTAATTTGAAGTTGGAATGCAATTGGTCTAATGAATATGACATTTGCATTATGAAATATTTCTAATTAATCATGCATGAGGTTACAGTAGTCTTACAGCTATGTTATAGAGGATTCTTGTCTTAGTACCGACATCTCCAATTGTGATTATTATCAATGACAGCGTGACATCAAGCGCGTGTTTTCAAACAGGCTGGAAATATTTACCTCGTTTTGTGGTCTTGTTCAAAGTGTTCTCTCGCTTCCATTTGTGATGATGGAATTAGTTGAGCAGATTTTAAACCAGAATTTCCTTGCTTCAAGAGGCAGAGTTTGTATTTTGCGTGCAACAAGTAGCAATGTTGTCACTAATACATGAACATCTGAACTCAGGCGCTTTCTGCAGATCAGCTCTAAGTCGTATTTTGCAGCGTGTGTGTTAATGTACCAATTTACCGAAAATTCGAAGGTAACTAAGCAGCAGTGTCCTACAAAAATATTGGTAAAGCTATATTGTTTCTCCATTGATGTTCATAACAGGTTTCTAAAGTGGATATACCACTTCTGTTTGAGGTGTGTATTCTAAAGTAACAAAAAAGATCCACAATTGAAAATCTTTTATTGAAGATGCCTCGCTTCTGGCATGCTTTTTTAAACCCTAACCACCATGAACCGTCGCTCCAAGAGTGTTAATGACAACCGCTACTCCAGATCCTTAAAGGAGGCTGGTTAGTACAGGCATCAAAGCAACAAACTTACTTTTCATGATGCGGAGAGTTTGACGAGAAACTTGTAGGCTACCAGAAGTAGCCCAGTGAGGCATCGTGTTTCCAAAACGAACTTTATTCGCTCCGAGACTGGACGTCATGCCTACAGGAAACTGTCTCTCATAGACTTCAGGATAAATACACAGAACCATAGCGCTTGTCACTGAACTGTTAATAAAACCCATAACAGTATCATAGTCTCAGCTAATGTCAGAGAGGACTTTTTATCATAAAATAGTGTAGGCTTGACACCACGCAGGCTATAGTGTAGACTTGAGCCACAACAGGACTTAATGTCTCACAAGAAGGCTGTCAAGGCGCTTCTGCGCTTCTTGCGTTCAACCGACCTGTCCAAACTACTGTGATCGAAACGCCCTGCATGTGTGTGCATGTGATTTTTTCATACAATTTATTTTATATCTATCTATCTCTATCCTTTTTCCGACCCTTGTATTCCCACCCCTGTACAGGGTGGCAAACTAGTTCTTCTAGGTTAACCTCCCTGTCTCTTCCTTTTATTTATTTCTCTTTCTGAGTCATGTTATTGAGCAGCAATTGGTATTAAAAAAGAGAGGTTAGGCGGTTCAGTTGGAGTAAGAGCAGCTTGAAGCGAGCTCCTTGGCACCATGTTTTCTTGTCTATGTAGCCCCCTTTATCTTTATTTTGATGAAGAAAAAGTGGGACAAGTCAAGCGATTTGAAATGGGACTACTGAAAAACTTGTCAGGCGGGTTTAGACATGTCAAGAGAGAAAAATGACAGGTAAGAACACCTCAGACCATAAAAAATACAATTTGTTACTCGATATGAAATATAAAACTTTTTTGTCTGTAAGGGCAAAGAGTACCAGAGTACTTAACCTAACCCAATTACTTTGCAACCATAGAAATGAGAATTCAAGGTAGGATGAACGCATCGGTAAATATGAACACTGTTTTTACAAGCTGTCATATTGGGAAAAAAATTGTGCTCTAGTCTTCAATCACGTATGAAAAACTGGGCTCTAATCAGCTTGGTTATATCACGAAAAAATGCGCTGAGATTGCATAGCCACAAAACCGGACAACTTCCTCGATGTTTTCAATTAGTGATCTTCTGATATGCTTTATAAAAATTCAAGTAGCAGAAGTGTGCACTTGCAAATAACGAATTCGCATGCATTTATTGACACTGTTATTCATAGTGTGCCCATGGTGCATCCAAGTTATTTGTTGGTCTTTCGGAGTGTAACTTCTTGCAAAAAAAAGAACACACTTACTATCTTTTTGATGTCACCCTAACTTTTCCTATATCACATCTATAATTTCAGTTTATTCATTGTTAATGGCTATTTAGAGTAGGTAGACAGCGCTGATGTGGCTATGACTACTTTTTTGGAAAAACCTCACGATAAAAAACTTGAAAGTCGGGGGCATAGAAGAAGCTGTCTCTATTCAAAAAATACTCTAGCAGCTAGAATAAAAACGACCATTTGATGGTTGATGAGGAAGGGTCGTTTTTGAAAAAAAACAAGTATCAAGCAGTTGCTTTGATGTTAACACATTTTGATGCTGTGTAAGCGACCAACACCTTCTGGAATTATACCACGGGGTTTTTCTTTCTATAGCGTTGAGCTGCTAATGTGAGCAAGACGCCCGTTTGGGGCGCACGTTTGGAGCTGCCACTTCTCAGTCTTAATGGTGGCAGGATCAAAAAAAGAGGCCTTGTAGAAAGCCAGTGTCGCCACTCAAGGAAGGCTGTGAGGCAGCCATTCAGGTACCTTAATGAGTGCTTTGAAGTCGGGCGCGGATGCTAATACAACTGAGGCACCATCAACAACTCGTCCTAGGCAACGTTTTCGGAAAGGATAGTGCTACCAATGCAGGCACCACTGAACGGATGTTCTATTCTGTTTATTACCACCTCAGAAAATTCCTCGTTCCTGCATATGACATTAGTGTGTGCGCGGGAGGGCGAGGGGAAAGTCATTTAAGGAGGCGCAAAGCCTGCCCTATATTACTTCTAATTTAGAAATTTTCCTTCAATGTTTAAAAGGCAGGGTAATGTGCAAGCAGGTATTGGATTATTATGGTAGTAGAAGGACCCTGATGACGCATTCCAAGAAGTGCTTCTTTCCATGTTTGCCCCAGAAAGCCCGTGACCAAAAGTGGGTCATGGCGAAAGACACTTTATCACTTTTTCCCGTAGATTTCCTAACATCCTGCCTTTTGGACTCGACCGGGGACCTGGGAGGTTGTGGGCGGTGATACCCTCTCCCCTAATTTGGAACCTCCGTTCACGCCTTTGATTACCGACACTGCGTTGCTGACGACAAAATGTGACGCATTCGTTTCCCCGTTTCTTACTCGTCGTAGAATGGACGTCATGTAAGCTTGCTTACTCTGTACCATTTTTCTCAAGAAATATTACGGCAGTGATAGCACCGGCCGTTCGCAGCACCTGCAGCCACTGCTGGTTCGGCTCGAACAACACGACACCCCAGGTATATTACTCATCCTTTCAAATATGGGTGCACGTAATGGCGTAAATTTGGCGTTTCCATTTATTCTTTCAGCAATGTACATCACCTTTCTTTGAGGATATTCCGGCAAGCTACCACTGAGCCAAGCTGAGTTTTTCAAAGCACGAATATAATAACTGCTATATTGTGTTTTGTTCACTATTTTAGTTCAACAGAACCACAATTGGGTTTGTATGAGGAGGAGAGTAGTGACTGCTAGAGGAGAATTTCCACGCGATAACTTCACCTGCTCGATCTTGAATCCAGGGTTTTCTGCAAGCGCACTCTGACGGCCATCCTGTTTTAGCAGGAGGCTGGGTCATTTACGTAAGCCACCTTGCCGAACAATGCTCACGTGGCACACAGGACAGCTGCAAAAGCGCTTTGCTTATACATACAAACTGTGGTCATTTTCTTAGACTGATACATAAAAATACAAGTATTTGAAGGGTTTTGCGATAGCCAGTACAGATACGCAGCAGCACTGTGTTCGTGTATCTTTCCTGAGCACAATGAAACAATTCTATTCACTGATGTTAGCACTGAGCATGTAATACTTAACAGTGGACGTTAACGTGAATAAATTAGCATATATCAAATGTATGAAATAGTCGTTCTTTAGCTTTGTCGATATAATACTGTTCTTAGAAAAGCAGTAAACACGAGCAGCACATCGCAAGAGCAGAGTGCCATGACAAGTTTGCCAAAATTTCGCATATATAGGACCACACACAAAGTGTGCCAACTTGGTCGTGTTTCAGGAGGAGGCCTATACAGGCCTGTTGGATCGTTCATCCAGTACACAGCCCACAACTCCAGTACAAAGTCAAAGTAATGACTAGCTTGAATATATGCTTACGGTGTTCTCTGAATTGTATAGTTCCAGCACAGAACATACCCTGTTTTAAAGAGTCAGTACTCGCAGTAAGCAAGCACCACTGTACTTCAGCATGTTTTTGTAATAGTGTTCGCCGGTTAGTCAAGGACAATATTGTGATGGAATTTATATGCAGGGTTTCTTAACTTAGGTGCTTTCTTAAGCGCCCCCTTCATTCATCTTAGAGTGCCTCCTCCAGATCTTGTAACTATATGATCATACCAGTAAGTGTTAATCCACAGCCACTTTTTTTTACAGTCTTGGTACAGAGAGTAAGCTTTCGCAGGCAAAATACACTCGCCGTTGTCACTTCGAAGTGGCAAGACGTCCATATTGTCTGCTAAGATACTCGTGAAGGTAATTCCCACAGGAACCACAGTCACAGTGCACAGTCTTGAGGGGGAGAAAACGTTAGCAGGTCGCTGTACTTGGCGGCGAGGGTGTGTTGTTCACACCGTCGACGGTGTCGTGTGAAGCTGGTGGTTTGAGACGTAGCACTCCGCCGAGTTCCATTCTGAAGGCAAGGGAGGTCGGAACAAGACATCAGGAGACATGCTGTGGGCATTGACTGAAAATCACTTCAGCTTCCACAAGTTACGCGAAATTTACCGCTTGCCGGAAACATGAGTGACAAATCTCGTTTCGTGTGTCAATACGATCGATGTTACGGAATAAGAACCGCAGGTTTGTGTTACCACATGAAGAATTCCGGAGAAGTGCACACAAGGGAACTCTTGTGTTGACATATGTTAAGAGGCTAATGAATACTACTTCTGCTGTCCTAAACTAGCTGCCGGCTTGTGGGTTTTTCGGAATATGCTGTGTCCGTAACAGACAACTGATTTTTGCTCTACTGTTCTCAAGTTTAGGCAGGAGCAGAGTGTTTGAAGGCCACGCTACTACTGTTCTTCTAGGTTGACATTGATGAATTGCCGTAACCTCAAGAAATTTTCGGTAAGTGCCTAGTAAAGGGTTTAGCGAGTGGGTAATAAGATTGCGTCTAGAAGCAGGCAAGTTCGTGGTTCCTCGCAGTTTCCGGCTAGCCTTGGTTGCCGAAACTTGCCATGTTATTTTTTTTTTGTTTTTCCTTCAATGAATCACGAGGGCCAGAGCTGTTGGAGGAGTTGCATGCAGTCAGGCACGTTGTGACTCTAATGAGAAGGGTTACAGGCACGGATGGGTAGTGCTGCAGAGTGGGTAGCTGAGCGCAAGGTCGGCCTTAATGAGTGGTCAAAGAATGGGGCGGCATCGCAGTGAGCATTAGCACGCGCTTATGGCGTCTCTGGGAGCATTCAGGCGTACAAAGAGCGAAGAGGGGTGAATGTGGCAAAGAAAATATGTCTTCCTATAAAGATTGCAACACTTGTCACTACGTATTGCTTAATTGTTCTTAAACAACTTACCAAATCTGATCTCGCTGCATTTTTTTTTTCATTACTGTATCTTGTTTATTTTTCTTCGAATATATAATTGTATATCTATGTGAACTGAATAGATTCGCTCGAATGAAAATGTGTACTGCTGTTGCAAGGAGACAAGTATTATCCAAAGTATAGACACATGTACGTGCATTCGGAGTGTATTTGAAAGCTTTCTGGCGTGTTATGAGGTAGTTTAGATGAATTATAGAACTATTGCCCAAATATTTTTCTTTTGTGATAATTGAAGTTAGTCTACCTAGAGTTCAGCGATATTAAGTTAAAAAAAAACAGCACTTTTGTTGTACACGAATGCATACTTTTCTTTGAATAATTTTTGTGATGATCCGTAAGAAAAACGTGTGCAATATTAATATTAAAATATATTATCTTCTTGGAACATACTTGAGATATTCACCAGAATATTCTATTTTATACCGTACTGGTTCTTTTTGAAAACCAAGTTCTGTTTGGGAATTCTGAATGATTCGCTCAGTAAACAGGCACTGAACGAGGCGGAATATGTTTTGTGTGTTATTTGGTAGTCGCAAAAGAATGGAGTAGCAAATAGAAATGAAGCGAAGGAAGTTACGCAAGCGGAAATGACGCACGATGCAGTGAATTGGATTGAGGAAGTGAACAAAAAACACACGGAGGCAAGTGATGGTAGGCAGACGCCGAGAGATTTATTTAGCATGGCAGAGAGTAGAACAGACAGAAGGGTAAAATGCTCGCAGCAGGCAGAGAGAGAGAGAGAGAAAGCATTGACAGATGCACGCAAGAGAGTAAGAGGAGAGTGACAGCAGCTACAGTGATGCAATGTGTGCGCACTTTATACTGGACCCATGACCGTCAAGCGCAGCAGTTTTGGATATGCCACGCTTATGACGCTGTCGTCTCCACACATTGTCGCGTGCACCACGATCGACTTTAATCTGTGATCATTGCCGCAAGCGTGGAAGGCCGCATTAACGTATCTGGTGCATCGGTAGGTGCAGTAGCTTCAGCCTAATACCGGGTTACCGAGCGCTGTTAGCTGCATTGCGTGATGACTTGTACAACCATAATGCCTTAGAATGACGCGAAGTTTTCTGAAACTGACGTTTCCATAGGTGTATTTAAAATCAGGAATGATCCATCGAAGAAGCTTCACTTCAGTGACGACGTCTCCTGTTCGATCATTGGCTATCATTCGCGAATTCATCCTTCAGTACACACGAATGTCTTATTCGCAGCACCTTGGAGTCGCGTTTGTCTGTTAAGTGGGCGTTGTAATCGAACAGAATAAAAAGAAAGAAACATTTAGACACTACTTTCACGGTTATGTTACTTTGCCCTGGTTTACATGACGCGGCCGATTTACTTCAGCAGCCAAGTAGCTTACGCCCTGACTGCAACAGCATCTATTGCTCAGTGGATATCTGCTGCACATCAAGAATCTATCATCCTGGCCACTTACGTTTTCAGTTTTCCCTTTCAGTAACCCAGTATTCTAAAGAACGTTTGCCAGTTTTCAGACGAACTATACAACTCCCTGGAAAACTAGGGAGCATGGTGTATGACTCTGCTGAAATATTTTATGCTTGAGGCGTCCAAACCTTAAGTTGGCAGCTTAATTACATTGCCAACATGCAGACGCGTTGTTTTTATGTTAGCACAAGTTTTTTTCTTATTTATTTAAACAGTTAGAACATTCACAATAGAGCGAATTTTCAAGCAACCATGGTTTCACGCCTAGATCTCTCAGAAGCTGACAGTGCTTAGAAATGAAGGCTTTGCTGCCTCTTCAGCGCTTATCAGCTGCGGTCATAAGTCCAGAGATGCATGTTGCGCATACTTTAAATTGAATACATGGCACATATCTGTTTCTATGCGATACTGACAGCAATACAACATTGACATCAATGCGAAAGAGCCAACATGCAAGGATACATGCTATTAGTAAAACGTAAAGCCCTTCCAAGCTTTGTCTAATTACCATAGTGTGGTATTAACTTATACTGCTTGTGGTTTTTAATTTCTCCAAAATGGTTTTTGTTGCGAGCACACAGTTGAACATATCAGGCACAATTTAAACATTTAAACACAGAACGCAACAACTATATTGGACTGGTATCAAAGAACAGAAGTAGTTAAATATGTTGCGCATTTAGTACAAAGAGATTCTGTTAGCTCTTATACAAGCTCTTGTCAGCTCTGAATTGTACTGTCAAAGATCTATCCAGAATTATTCAATTAGTTATTTGAAATTTTTCTAATAGTGTGCAAAAATCGTGAAACATCAAACTCATTTCTTAATGAAAAGTTACCTCTAAACGACTGTAGTCCAACACAGCCTTGTCTAACACGGCAATGCGGGACTAATCGACGTAGCAGTGGCTAAAGTGAGTAGTAGGCTGAAACTATGCCTGCACATTGAAATTTGAAAGCGGACAGGTGCGGATGGCCTCTATATTACGCTATGATGATAAAATGTCGAAATTGCTTTTCTATTGCCTATGAACTGCACATTTTTGCTAAGCCTTGAAATCTACACCCTATTTCAGCTGTTTCATGAGTATAATGGTCTGAGGTGTCGTTTTAAGATGTCAGTAGTGAAATGACTGTTGGGGATAGTTGCCTTCAGAATGAGTAGACCTGTTTGGCTAGCAAAAATGGCAGTGTTTTTTTGTTTGCAAGCAAGCCTCCTCTTATTGCTTCCCATATGCTTCAAAGGTATCAAGTTGATTGTGTTGTAAGTTCACCGAAATAATTTGTTTTCAGATCATTTCGGAACATTGTTTTGGATGATTCTGATTATAACACCAGGACTTGCTTATGTTTGTTGCTTATGTGTATCTGATTTGATTTGATTTGTGAGCCAATCTCCACATGAAACATAACAATATTACTTTATCAAGGTTTGAAACAATGTATGCTGAACCATGCTGAGCCATTTTCTTTTTGACGGCAGTAGCATACATACTACATAATATAGGGAAGCATGCTTTCTCTCTTTTTTTAGTTAGCTGATATCGTCTTCTCCCAGTGCGTCTTGCGTGTGTGGCAGTCTTAAACCTGAACTTGCTTTCAAGCCGCCTATAATAAAGATTACAGCTGTCAATTACTTCGCCAAATATCAAATATAATGTTCAACGCTGACTAATTAAGAGGAACGTAGGTTCCCATGTTCAACAGGTTTTTATCTACAGAGAACAACACATAATAAAAGATATCATGAATGTGAGGTTAACGCTTTTTGTGACACTAATAACTTGTAAGTTATATAAGTCCTATGTAATCCAGCAGTGTGTGAAGCTGACCAATTAAACTGTTTGAAATTTGTGAACAATTTATATTTAAACTTTTTCTTGCTGCTTCTGGCATTCATAATGCGATACAACTTCGTTTAAATTGTACAAACTATGGATGAAAGAAAAAGAGCAAAAAAAGAGCTTTCTGAACAGTCATAAAGCATACCTTTCAGTATGAACAAAAACATTTGATTATTCTACACTATATAACACCCTGAAACTGACTCCTTTCAAACACAGGCAATTATCACTCTTCAAATAGAAATAACACAAGTCCTACTCTTGATATAGCACATATCCATCTTTCTGCGAGCTTCAACATTCTCAAAAATAGACTAGGCAGGACGGGATTCCATCTCTGGTTCAAACAGACACACTCACTCGACACAAGAGAATATGTAACACTGAGCAAGTCTACCGGACAAACGTGAGCACATTATTACACTGAACACAGTTTTTGACCAGCGTCAAGGCAAGAACCACCCTTGACAATGGCAGTTGCACAAACATAGTACACATAACAACACACTATGCGAAGACGGCACAAGTTTCCTACTGTGGCGGCGCAAATCTAAATGCCCGTAGCCCAGCTGACTCGAACGTAACTCACACCGACATCACCGAAGCAGCAGACTCAACACAGCTGTTCTTAAAATCGACGTCAAACGACCACACACGCACTCTCATACAGTCTACGTCTAAGGAACGACATACAACGGATGAACTCGAGGAAAGGTTACGACACCGAGCACTATGTACCTACGCTAAACAAGTAAATGACTACACACACAGGGTGACGATACGCCAGGGTTGGATCATTTACCCTAATACACTTCCTAGTCTATACACCATAACGACAGCAAAAGAGTCAGCGCTGCGTAACAGATCAGCATCAAGCAAAAGTTTACAGAAGACAAACATGTGCCCTGACTTCTCACTACTTTTTTTTTTAAATGTGCTCAAAATATGTCGACTTCAGCATTGAGAACGTGCCTTGTAAATATTCATGTTCTCACGGTGGTCCTAAAGCATGCCGTGCCTTATGCTCGGGCCCTCTAAAAATATGGCAGTTTGGGATATTTTTTGAAGCTCGTGAAACGTGCCTGCGTCTTCAAAGGTAATTACAATGGGATTTCCCCCAACGAAAAGTAAGGAGTAGTAGTTGTGGAAAGGAACAACACAAATAGTAATTTTGCTTCAGTTACGCTTCAGTTAAGTTTTGCTTCAGACTAGTACTTAGGTTTACACTTAGGATGTGTCACAGTAGAATCTTTTCAGCTTATGAATAATTAGAAAAATCGGTACCAATAACTAATTGTGAAAAATTTTGGTGTTACAGTGAGGTGCCTTGAGATAACGCGAATTGGTAAAAAATACAGGCACAACATACAAACTAGACAAAGTAAAGTGCAGGCAAGGCTTTGTCATTATAAGCTTCAGCAACCGGTAGTAGTAAATTGTAAAGTCATTCCGACGATTACGAGGACGATGCGGGGAGAGAGTCATAAAATGTGCGACTTCTAAAACCAAGACCAAGACTACCCGGCTGAAAGCCACAAACGCTATGCCGGATGTGTCGTCTGCAGAAAAAGCAACTGAGACAGATATTCAAAGCCTGAGGTCGAGAAAAACACCCGCGCCTGTACAAAATCGGCAAGCGGGGGTCGGAACAGCCAGCCATCCTTGTCCTGCGCCCGAATACAATAAGATGAATGCGGTGTCGAAGAAACACAGTCATCGAGAGTGGAACCTTGAAACCGACTCGAAAATCGGGCCACGCTTTGATCGAGTCTGCGTTGGGGGTTTTGCTTTCTGAAGCACACGTGTGGTGGGACCAACGTCAAAAATGAGGTTCACCTTACTGTTTCCCAAAGACTTACTCTGAAATAATATTCATGTTGTCACTGTCTGGTAAACAAGTCTTCTACTGGTGAAATCACCATGTTCGGAGAATCGCTCCTGTATTTCAAAACAGGTCATCAGGAGTCGTTGACAAGTCAGCCTCTGGCATCGTCTGTCGCTCCTCGCAAACATCTTAATCCCATCGGCCATCGATAGTTTTTCTGTGGAGCCGCACTCAACCACAGCTACCTAGCTCGACCATCCGGGCGGAGAGGCGTTCGGCGCGATCAAACGCGTCTCTGGGTACCATCTTCAGGCTGCTGTTCGAGATTGAGCTAGCCTTGCGACTGCTGCTCGTTCCAGGCTCGCTACACTCGTCAATGGACACGATTATGTTACGTGCCCTCTGGGCGAGCATTGCCTCGACGGTGTACGGGGGCGGTGGGCCTCCGTCCGTGAGGAGCGTGAAGTCGGACGTCTCGAAGGCCAGCGAGGAACGGAAGGTGGACCGGAAGCCGGACGGGAAGGTGACCGACACGACGGACTTACCATGGCGCGTGGCGCGGTGGCGGCCGCAGCAGCGCATGAGCGTGTCCCGGAAGGCCTGGCGGAACTTGAGCGACATGATGCTGTACAGGATGGGGTTGATGGTGGCGCTCACGTAGTACGTGACGCCAGAGACGTACGTGAGCAGGTTGAAGGCAATCTCGAGCGCCGGCGTCGGCACCTTTGCGTAGACGGCCATCAGGCGCTGAGCGTGGAACGGGGCCCAGCAGATGAAGAACGCCACCACCACGGCAACTGCGAGAACAAGGGACCCCGAAAAAGGTATGAAGTATGGCTAGGAACAAGACATTAACGGCACGTTCGCTGAAAACCAGCATCTAAACACTGAAAACTAATGCTTCTTACAAGGTTTGCCTTCTTTACTGCACTGGCATGAATAAATTGGTGCATGGTTGATATGCTCCAGCACAGAGCCATGCCCGTTCTTGTGGCAAAGCCACCATCTTGACCTCAGGGACTCTCGAATTATTTAGATCCAATTTCATCAAGACTGAAATAACGTTCTCAAAATTTAATGATACGTTCGGAAAAGCTTGGTATGTAGCTAAGTAATTCTGTAATACCACCAACCCCCTTTCCCATCTCTCCTGCTTGCAGTTACACAAGAGCTTCCTTTTTCAACAAAGGAAACGTGTGATGGATATATAGGGTGGCCCAGCTTACTGAAGACAGAGTTAAAAAAAAGTATGCCGTCGCAATCATCGCCCATCACAGCTGACTTGCTTAAACCTGAACACCAGGGGTAATTTTCAATCGTTCCTAAAGCGACGTCACGGCGGAATGTGGAGTGGCAAATAGCCACTGTAAATACTTGTCGGGGGGCTATCTGGTTTGATAGCATTGTAGCAAAAAAAAAACGGCGCAAGAAGACAGGGTCAGTAAAACGGACATGCACAAGTGCTGACTGTTGCGAGTCGTGTCGCTATTGTTGGAGTTGCGAGTCACCACTCGTGTCTGTGCCTCATATCGTTACTGTTTTTTTGCGCTGTCTTTAAATGCGAAGCATTTCTTAGCGAACTTCGGCGACTTTTAACGTATCTATCTATCTATCTATCTATCTATCTATCTATCTATCTATCAATTTATCTATCTGCTTACGTTTGAGTGCTCTCGTGGTTACCCCCTTAACTTGACGTGAACCAAAATTAGCATGGGAACGTAAGGTGATTTATTTATATATATATATATATATATATATATATATATACATATATATATATATATATATATATATATATATATATATATATATATATATATAGCTCCGCCGGCAGCGTTCGATGACCCGTCGCTCTACACCACGAGATGCAGGGCTTGCAGGCTTGGAGGCGAGCTGTGATCAGGTGGAACTGCTGGCAGACCTCAAGTCCTTCATACGTGAGGAAATCGCGCGGCAGTTCTCTCTCCTGCCCTTTGCCCACCCACCGGCTGCTCAACAATCGGCCACTACCATTCTTCCACCCATCCGCCGAGCAATTGAGCAGGAAATAGCGGAGGTCATGCCGGCGTACCAACCACAACAGCTTCCAGCCCCTGCGCCCCCAAGTTACGCCCAAGTGGTCGCCAGGCCGCCTCCAGTCGTTCAACCGCCCGCCCCACTGACTTACGCCGAAGCTGCCGCACGACCTCCATCCTTTACAGCGGCTATGCCGGCTACGTATGTTGACGTGACCTCGCAGACTCAGCTCCAGCACCCCCTGCAGCTTTTCCAGCCACAGTTCCGTCCATCGGCTCTTACGTCATGGACAAGACTTACCCCAGCGAACCGATGGCGCACACCCGACAACCGGCCCATCTGCTTTGCCTGCGGTTACGCCGGTCACGTAGCCCGTTATTGCCATCGTGTACAGCCGGCTCCAATTTCTTCGCCTATTGCTGGCCACCTCAGCCGTCCCTATCACGACGAACCACCGTCTATGCCACCGCCGTCTCGCCCAGGTCCATCTCCTCGAAGGTCGCCGTCTCCACGACGTCGTTCTCTGTCCCCCATGAGGCCAAGTTTGGCTAATCATGAGCGGGAAAACTAGTCGTCGCAGTCCCCGAGGCAAGGACTGCGATGCTATTGCGAAGTGAAAGCCCTCAGAGCCGCCCATCTAATGTCATAGACGTGCTTGTGGACGGTGTTCATGCATCTGCTCTTATTGACACTGGAGCTGCAGTATCCGTTATGGACGAAAACTTCTGCCGCTTGCTTCGAAAAGTGACGACGCCAATTTCTGGGTTGTCCCTTCGTACTGCCGGTTCACATCGTATCCATCCTTCAGCAGAGTGCACAGCTCGCGTTGTCGTTCAGGACGTTCTGTATGTCGGCCAATTCATCATCATTCCTGCATGCTCTCATGACGTCATCCTGGGGTGGGATTTTCTCTCCCGCAACGACGCCGTCATCCATTGTGCCGCTGCCGAAATTGAACTCTCACCCCTCTCGCATTTGACGCCGGAAGACAGTCCCTCGACGCTGAGTAAGATTCTCGTGAAAGACGATACCATAGTGCCTCCAAGTTCGGCAATGGGTGTATCTGTCTACTGCGCTGGACTCTCCGACACAATTGCACTCGTTTCGCCATCCGACCGTGCTTGCCGAAGGAAAGGGTTGCTAGTACCTTTCGCGACCGTGCAAATCACCCAGAGCAACGCCGCTATTTTTGTGACCAACCCATCCCCGTACACTGTTACCTTGGTTCGAGGGGAATGTCTCGGCAGAGTGGAACCAGTGGATAACGCACAAGTCCTGGACGTACCTGATGACTCGCGTTGTCCCAGTTCGTGTACCGTCAGCGCTGTTTCCACTTATGATTCATCATCTCCTGATGTATTTGGCCCTTACATTGATGACAATCTTACGTCGGTACAGCGTTCCCAGCTTCTGGACCTGCTGCGAGAATATCATTCTTCTTTCGATGTCGGGCGAAGTTCTCTCGGTCGCACGTCCGCTGTTACACATCGTATCGACACTGGTGCCCATCCACCATTACGGCAACGTCCCTACCGCGTGTCGCCTGCTGAACGTCGGGAAATTAACGAGCAGGTTGATGATATGCTCAGACGCGACGTTATTCGGCCCTCGGACAGTCCATGGGCGTCTCCTGTTGTTCTTGTCGCGAAGAAAGATGGTTCTGTGCGGTTCTGTGTGGACTACAGACGGCTCAATAAGATCACTCGCAAGGATGTTTACCCACTGCCGCGTATCGATGACGCAATTGACAGCCTTCACGGAGCCGAATTTTTTTCTTCTCTCGATCTGCGCTCCGGGTACTGGCAAGTACCCATGGCTGATGACGCTCGACCAAAGGCTGCGTTCATCACACCCGACGGCTTGTACGAATTCAACGTCATGCCGTTTGGTCTATGTAATGCACCTGCGACCTTTGAGCGCATGATGGACACCGTTCTGCGCAACTCAAATTGGCACACGTGCTTGTGTTACCTCGATGACGTTGTTGTGTTCGCTCCAGATTTCTCCACGCATCTCCAACGTCTGAAAGAAGTTTTCGCACGTGTGAGCAATGCCGGCTTGCAACTAAATCTGAAGAAGTGCCGCTTTGCAGCACGGCAACTCGCCATCCTAGGGTACGTCGTGTCTAAGGATGGCATTCTTCCTGACCCAGCCAAGCTTCGGGCCATGGCTGAATTCCCCAAACCTGCGTCCGTCAAAGAACTGCGTAGTTTTGTGGGCCTGTGCTCATACTTCCGACGGTTCATACGAAACTTTGCTACGATCATATCACCGCTGACGAAGCTCCTTGGAAGTAACGGGCCCCTCAATTCGTGGTCGTCTGAGTGCGACGACGCGTTCGCGAAGCTCCGCCATTTGCTGACGTCTCCTCCCATTCTACGCCACTACGACCCTACGGCCCCGACGGAGGTGCACACAGACGCCAGTGGTGTAGGCCTTGGCGCTGTCCTGGCGCAGCGCAAACCCGGATTCTCTGAATATGTCGTAGCATATGCAAGCCGTACGCTCACGAGAGCCGAGACAAACTACACCGTCACGGAGAAAGAGTGCCTGGCGATCGTCTGGGCCCTTACAAAGTTTCGACCTTATTTGTATGGTCGCCCATTCGATGTCGTCACCAACCATCATGCACTATGCTGGCTTTCATCATTGAAGGATCCCTCAGGCCATCTCGCCCGTTGGGCTCTTCGCTTACAAGACTATGACATCCGCGTGCTGTACCGCAACGGACGCCAGCATGCTGACGCCGACGCCCTCTCGCGCTCCCCTCTGCCTGAAGGTGATGTGCTCTGCTCAGTATCCTCGGCTGCTGTTTCTGCCATTGATGTTGACATCATCGCTACCGAACAGCGAAAGGATAATTCGATCGGCCCGCTCATCGACTTGCTCTCTGATCCATCCGCAACGCCATCCACGCGTGCCTTGCGTCGTCAAGCTCGCCATTTCGCCATCCGTGACGGCCTTCTACACCGACGCAATTACGACGCCGATGGCCGGCAGTGGTTACTCGTGATACCCCGCAGTCTGTGGTCAGAGATATGTGAATCCTTCCATTCTGATCCGCAATGCGCGCACTCTGGGGTATTCAAAACCTACCGTCGTATTCGACAACGCTACTTCTGGCGCGGGATGTACCGCTATGTGCAGCAGTTCGTTCGCTCCTGCCTCGCTTGCCAACGCCGCCAACCGTCAGCACACATGTCGCCAGCCAGTCTGCAACCGTTACCTTGCCCTGAGCGTCCGTTTGGGCACATAGGTATCGATTTGTATGAACCACTTCCTCTGACGTCGGCTGGTAACCGCTGGGCCATCGTCGCCGTAGATCATTTAACGCGATACGCCGAAACCGCCGCTATCCCTGCGGCTACTGCACGTGACGTTGCGTCCTTCCTACTGCATCGATTTATACTGCGCCACGGTCCACCTCAGGAGCTTCTCAGCGATCGAGGCCGTGTCTTCTTGTCGGAAGTCGTCGAAGCCATTCTGACGGAGTGCCATTCTGTCCACCGCAAAACTACTGCTTACCACCCACAGACGAATGGCCTCACCGAACGCTTTAACCGCACCCTCGGCGACATGCTTTCTATGTACGTCGCTGCCAACCACACTAATTGGGATAATATACTGCCCTTCGTCACCTACGCCTACAACACCGCCCCTCAGAGCACGACTGGTTTTTCACCTTTCTACTTGCTGTACGGAAGGCACCCGTCGCACACCATGGACACAATGCTCCCGTACACGCCGGATCCATCTGAGTGTACACCTATTTCCGAGA